GGACGGACCGGATTCTAGGAAACCCTACCGTGAACGTTGTCTCATACCGGACGGGGTATGAAGACTTGGTCATTTGGTGCTCATACTAGACGGGGTATGGGACGGCCGCTTCACCCTCATACCAGACGGAGTATTAAGGTTTAATGTCTTGACGCTCATACCGGACGGGGTATAAAGACGACTCTGTAATTAAGATTGTTAAGGGAAATGATTTAAGTGTAGCAGAGACACCCCTATGGATCCCCATAGATACTAGTAGATTGGTGAAACGAGAAACAGTTATAATTTAGTTTATTGTTAATGAATGTGAATTTATGATATGTTTTATGTTGCTGATCGTGCATGAAGTTATGATCTGTATGATATTATTACTTTTATAGTTTGTTTTCATAAATTCCTCAATGATAAGTGAATGGTAAATGATTTTATTTTTAATAAATGTATTGGTTTAAATTTAGTGCTCCATTAGTTGTTTTGATTTTCTACCAATATTTACTTGTGTGCCGGTGATATAGTGTGATATCCTTAATGGAGTAGTGTAAATCATCCTTTATTTAACCATTTCATATCAAAAGGACTTAGTTCCCGAGCCCGATCCACAAGAAAATTACGAGGAGATGCTAGATACTTTATATTTTCCTTTACTTTTCTCATTTCTCGTGTTTATTTCAGAGAATTCATTCCGTAATGATTGTTTAGTATTTTTAAGTTATTGTGTAAGGGATGTAAACCTTAACTTTTTATTTCGCTTCTGTACTTAAATTATTATATATTTCTTTTTGGATTATGGGGTCGTTACATATAGATCACACAAGAGGTCATGAAATTTATCCTAAAAATTGGTCAACTCTCACACTACCCAAAAATAAAAAGAGTACTTGATTTTAAAGACCTATCTACCTATAATCTTGCTTTATTGGCTAAATTAGCATGGACTCTTCTATATTCTCCTTACACTGTATCTTAAAACCCAAATGCCTTATCATTTAGAAAAGGAATATAAAATGTAGGAATATACTCACCAGGTGATAGACATTATAAAGATATTGTGATAAAATCTACCGTACATATATGGATAAATCCATGTGTACCTGAACTGCCCTCCTATCCCTTCCTGAGGTACCCCCATCTAACTAGAGTTAGCTTTTTTATCATACTAGACACACAATCATGGAATACTAATATGTTTAAACAACAATATCACTTAAATAAATAAATAAAATTATCTCCAAATTACATATCTCCCGCTTAACCTTGTTGATTTGACACTTGTTAATAGAAGTACACAACAAATCAAGTTTTTAACATAAAGTTAGGCTACATTGAAATATTAGTCAAAACAAAAGCTAGCGATAGTATTAATAACTTCAGGCACTCACATCTTTTTATTGAAGGCTACGTTAGTACCCAAATACTAATTACATTGATGGTGGATAGTTTAAAATGTTCTACCAAATATGGGAACTAATCAATTATCTAAACTTATCTCTTTTTACAAGTTATGTGGTCAAGCAGAAGCAAAAACGATGCAATATCTCCTCTTAAAAATAGAAAGTTCTTTAGCAACGTTACTATGGTTCTTTCCACAGAACATTACTTATATATGCCAAACTTATATATTTCATAATGGTTCACTATCTACTGTTATATCAAGCTAGATGATCTTATTATAAATATTTACTCAAAAAGATCCTACTCTATATATCTACAATGTCAAATATTCTACGATCTACATTTTTGGTATAATCAATGGAAACTTATAAAAGAAGACAACAATTTTAGATAATTTTATTTAAATTAAACTAGATCTGAAAATAAAAATGTAAACAAATCCTATACTGAATCAAAGAGAATAAATGCGAAAATGAACCTGAATCCATAATGGAAGAAATCTGCTCGTCCTGCGGTAGATCTTCTAAATTAGCACGTAGCCGTTTGAATTCTTACACTATCTCTATTTTTGGTGATAAGATATTATAATAAAAAAATCGTACGTATAATTTGGGGACCATAACTACTTATTTACAAGCAACCCCTGTATATAAAATTTTTATATTCTTAATTTGATCAATTACAAAATTAAAAAGTATAGATTTGATATCTACACATAAAATAAAGTATATAATTTAATTTGATGCATTAAAGTCTAATATATCTTTAACCGTATCGGATCACTACTAAGTGAGCCCAATTAATATGTGATTTACACACAAAGGCCACAAGGTAAATTTAAAACCCAACACAACTAACTCACATATAACTACATGCCTCTACAAAAATTACTTTATTGAACTCTTCATACATTTACTAAAAATTGATGGAAAGAGGAAAGATTCCAAGTCCAATTATTACCTAAGTCACAAAATTCTCACATCATTAACTTCATGTATGTGCCATGTTGCAAATATATGACAGATTTCATATTCTATCTTCATATCAAATGCCTATGAACCTCATGCATCACTCTTTAAAAGTATTTGTTTTATTTTGAAGCTACTGAGAAAGGTAAGATTCATCGCACTTTTATATAAGCAGATCACTTGAAACCAATATGGATTCAGAACCCCAATATTACCTATTTAAACTTAGGGTTATACACTTATTCCACTGTCTACAAAATGAGCTCGCCATTTTGAAGTACAATGACTTTTTAACTAATTTTGTACAAACTATTTAGTTTATAATCTGCTTGATTCGGATATTTTATTATACATTAAGGTTACTCATATATTGTAAATATGAATTATATCTAATATATTTTACTTGAATTTAAAAAATTATTTTTAAAAAGCAACGTCAAATTCTAAAATTTTTTTGTATGTTTTAAGATCTGAATATTCTATTTTAGACTATGATTTTACCATCACTTCCATAGCTAATTCCTGAAAAAAAAAAAAAAAGGTTTTAAAACTAAAATCAAATGATGTGTGGATTGAAAGACAAGTATAATGATGATCACACAACAATATTAAAATATCAATGGATTATCTTGGAATGAATTTTATTAAACTCAATAGCAGACTTGCCTCTATGAAAATTAAACCCAACCTATTTCGTTTGAATTTTGAAAAAAAAAAAAACAATTTGTACTATATTGAATTTGTAGGAGTATACCTATTTTTATTAATATAATATATCATATTTAATCATACAAATATGAGTATATCAATAATAATTAATAATTATACACACACGCGCGCGCGCGTAATGAGTCGAGTTGGGATAAATTTGAAAAGACTAAACCTGAACCCAACCCAAACTCGATCCCAATCCGAATTGAGATGCAAAATGCTAGCACGGGGTCTCTCATATTTTCCGACGGTGAGGATCATCTGAGGAACATAGCTGGAACAGAAGCCGCGGTACCACTGGATCATCTGACGTTATCCAAGGAGGAATTATCTTGATTGGAGGACACAGGACAGGTGTGGGACCCGCGGAGTCTGACATAATGCTTGGCCACTCGTATTCTGACACAATATGTCAAAAAGGTCGGTCCCGGTCCTATTAGAATTTTTCAGGGGTATTTTCGTAATTTAAAGGACTGCCTATTTGTTAGGGCAATTTGGTCGCCTAAAATCCCTAATTGGGGGAACAAGATTCTTTCGGCTTTCTCAACGTTCGAATAAGTGGTCGTTTTCAAAGCGGTGGGGCCCACGTAGGGACCACAAGAAATTTATTTTCCTTTTTGGAATAAAAAAGGAAAATAATACAAAATAATATGCAAGCCATGCCTGGACCATCATTGGCAGCAGATCCACTACAATCTACAGGTTTCCTAAACGAGTCCACTGTCGAGTATGTGACCGTTCAGGCAATAACAATTTGGATAAAATATAAACATATACACAAAGATATATATATATATATATATATATATACATACACACACACACACACACACATCCAAATTAAATGCTTATAAATTTTTCCTTTTAAAATTATATAGGAAAATCTGGGTCGTATGTATGTGGGTGTGGGTGTGTGTGTGTGTGTGTGTATATATATATATATGTACAGAAACAAGCTTTTTTAGTGGGATCCAGAATAATGTTCATGGGTTTATGATTGAATATACCTTAATTATAAAATTCTTGCTAAATGGTAATAAAAAATTATCAATAGTAACTTTTACTTGGCATTCAAAATTTCTATCAAACAACTTTTTGAATTAATTGTTTGATTTGAGATGCTAAAATTGTATTCTCGTAGGTAATATCTAAGTCTACACCAATGTCAAAAATATTTATTGTATATTACATAATATTTTTATTATAAGATCAACACTTAAATTTGAGTCTCTACCTATGCAATGCTTAAAGAAAAATTAGCTTAATATTATAGATATATTTAGTTTTTATATGTAATGAACATCGTTATATAATTTTGGCTACGTACAGAAACATTTCTATTTCTGCAAATAAAAATTAAACACAAATTTATTAGAACTGAAAAAAACCCAATTTATATGTAATTTATATCCTCGCCAAATTGTAGGTTAATTAACTTCATACTTACATTCATGTTTAAAATATATAAGTAAAAGTCTTGACAAAAAAATGTTGATGTTTGATTACATTTATAATTAAAATTCTAATTAATATAATTATCATTAGGGACGTTTATCGAAATAATACTATACTATACTGATATAGCCTATACGTATGTGTATAAGTGAAGTATAGTGAAAAGAAGTCCAACCCCACATGGAGACTTGTGCTCACATGCAGCCAAGTTCTTCCACTAATTTATAAGCCGTATTTAGCTACACTACCATGTCTGTCACGAGACAAGTAATTATATGACCGTTATAGAAACACCCTTATAAATATTTTCCCATTTTATAAATTAAATATTCTTCCCAAAAGATCAGAAAAAATAATCTCTTTCTACCAACTATATATATATATATATATACATATATCTCCCTCCCTCCCTCGATTTCCTTGCGATATATATATATATATGTATCTCTGTCTCTTCTACTCAAATTCTCAAACTCATATATATGTATATATATATTTATCATTATTGATCAAGACATTCTCTGTATTATCTTTCTTGATTAATACACCACCAATTTCTATTCTCTGACCATTTTAATGGTATTCTAATGGCTTCTTCTTCACTCTTCAGCTACTACATTGCCCTCTACACGTTCTTCTTTTCACTTGTTGCACCATTGCTCCCACTTACAACCTCAGCCAAACCTCCTGCTCCGGCTCCGGCTCCGGCGCCTAACAACACAACCAGACACCACCACAACTGGGTTGGACCCGTCGGCCACCGCCTCATTACCGTCGACGTTAGCGGCTCCGGCCACTTCCGGTCTGTCCAAGATGCCGTCAATGCTGTCCCAGAAAACAATAGAATGAACGTTCTCATTCAAATTAACGCTGGATATTACATGTAATCTATCAATCTTCTCCACTATATCTATATATATATATATAATATTTGGTCGACCATTAGTATAAGTTTATTAAAAATTAAAAAAAAAGTGAGAGCCCTTTAATCGGCGCTTTTGCTTTTTCTTTTTTTAATATTTAATTATAAATAGTAATTGCATAATCATATTAGTCTCCAAAAGAATATACACATAGATATATATATATATATACATGTATATGTACGTAACGATTTTGTTGATAATAAAGGGAAGAATTATTGATACAAAAAGTTGATTGCATACATGTAAAGAGGCTATGTATTATGTCATTATAAATGAAAATAAAGAACGTTAATTTAAGTTTGTGCATGGTGTCGGGGGACTGAGACTGATTGGGTGTGTGGCGGTGCAGAGAAAAGGTGGTGGTGCCGGCGACAAAACCGTACATCACGTTTCAGGGAGCAGGGAGGGATGTGACGGTGATCGAGTGGCATGATCGAGCATGTGATCGTGGACCCGACGGCCAGCAGTTACGGACCTATCAAACGGCGTCTGTGACCGTTTATGCAAACTATTTCTCCGCCAGAAACATTAGCGTCAAGGTATGTAAAATTAAATGGGTGATTGAGACCTTTCTGTTCTTCTGTTTAAATTTCTGTCTCACCAGTCCCAGTGAAAAGTACTATACTGTAATAATCTTTGTTTTTTTTTTTTCAGTAGAATTTAATTTAATAGTACACAAATAATAATTTTTTTTTCTAATTATATTTATGATGTCAAATTATATATATATATATATATGTATTTAAAATCATATGTTAAAATTATATTTCTTTATTTATCAAATGGGTAGCTGTAATTTTAATTGCAGAATTACCAATATACTTATCTACGTACGCGTAGAGTACACATGACTGCTCATGTTCATGATGTGTAATCAACTTCAATTGATTGTGACTCGTTAAAAACATTGTATATATATATATATATATATATATACATGAAAGATCAATAAGTAATAGTATTAATAATATTTTGTAAAGTGTTAAGTCAATAATTGATTTTACGTTAAAAAAATAAGTATGATAAAGATTTTAATTTCTATGATAAAACCAATAGTAATAGCGTAAAAACTAAAAGTCAAGTTCGCGTGCATTACATGTGTATATATATATATCCTATGAATTACTATTCCTAAACAATATGTTTTAGTTTATATAATTAAGGGTTAGATAAATATTTTGTACAAGTAATAAATATATTTTATCTTTATATACGAATACTAGCATTTTTTTTGGTTAAGAGTATAGTTGTTTTAGATCAGATAGGGATATTCACGTAGAGTTTTAAACTTTAAAAGAAACAATTAAAAGGTGATGTTGTGTTTGTATATATATATATATATATATGTCCGTATGGAAAAAAAATAATAACGGGTGATATATACATACACACACACACATATATACACAGAATACAGCACCAGCTCCGATGCCGGGAATGCATGGATGGCAAGCGGTGGCATTTCGCATATCGGGGGACAAGGCATACTTCTCCGGCTGTGGATTTTACGGCGCACAGGACACTCTCTGTGACGACGCCGGCAGACATTATTTCAAGGAGTGTTACATTGAAGGTTCCATTGATTTTATTTTTGGCAATGGCAGATCCATGTACAAAGTAAGTTTACAATTTCCTAAACCTACTACTCCTCCCCCTTAAATTTATATATAATAATATTCAATAACTTACACACACACACACATATATATATATATCTCTACAAATATTCTTGCGTCTTATATAATTGTCTTGTGTACTTTGTTTGCTATCTGCATTTTGTTTTTCTAAAAAGAAAAGGAAGAAAGCTTTTCGGCTTAAAAAATTTGATGCATGTCAGAGGTTACCAACTTTATGAATTAAAAGGAATATATACATATATTATATATATATATAGATATAGAATGTACTCTGCACCAGCTTCATCACGCTCCTCACTTTCTGGGTATGGGACAAACATAAATAAATAAACTTCAATCTCTTCCATTCTGTAAATATTTGTATATAAAGCTATCTTTTTAAGCTTTTACGTACATACATATATATATATATATATATATACATATTCGCAGGATAACTTTAAAGTGAGTTGTTCGGTGCAGGACTGTGAATTGCATTCGATAGCAAAGAGATTCGGGTCAATTGCGGCCCATGATAGGAAATCACCTGAAGAGAAAACGGGTTTCGCTTTTGTCAGATGTCGGGTAACGGGTACAGGCCCACTTTATGTGGGTCGGGCCATGGGTCAGTACTCGAGAATTGTCTACGCCTTCACATATTTTGATGATGTGGTAGCTCACGGTGGCTGGGATGACTGGGACCATATTAGCAACAAAAACAAGTAACTGTCTTTCAGATTTCTCGAGTATTTTTCTTAATTAATTTTCTATTTCCTTACTTAATTAGAAAATAAAATTATGATTTAGTATAAATAATAATTAATTAATTAAATGCAGGACTGCATTTTTTGGGGTGTACAAGTGCTGGGGACCAGGTGTGGGAGCGACTCGGGGAGTGTCATGGGCTCGAGAGCTTGACTATGAGGTGGCCCATCCATTTCTGGTCAAGAGTTTCGTCAACGGCCGTCATTGGATTGCTCCTCAAGATGCTTAAAGCCAGTTCACAAACATTAAATTCATTCTTTAATATTTTGTTTGTAGAAAATATTGAATTTTATAAACATCCAAGGGTCGAGTGATTGCAAATGGAATCTCATTCTTTGTTTGGTCAATAATTATTTTGTTTTATTTTTTAATTCGTACGTATACATACATAAAAAGTTTAGAGGTAAAATAATTTACGTACTATTTCAATTTTTTTATTTATATTGATTATTGTAATTTTAAATTATATTTAAATAGATATTTTTATTTAATATTATTAAAAATATCGTTAAATATCTAACTACGTAGCATTAACTTATCAATTGTTAGTACAACTTTCATTCCCAATCACACACCCGTAATATAACATAGTGTAATTTATTTTAAATTTCAATAAAAAATCTATTATAGTAGTAAAAAAAAAAAATAATTTTAAACAAATAAGGTCATAAAAAAATAATAGAGTTAAAACACGTAAGAATAATAGAACAATACCTATGTGATATTGGAAAGAATATAAAATTTTCAATTTTAAATATTAATTCTCTCAAATTCTCACACAGATAATGGAGGCAAATATGTGCTGTTGGGGCGAAAAATGTTTTTATCAATTTCTTCAATTAAGGTAGACTATGATATACAAAAAAAATTCACATTATCAATGCATAGCAAGTCAATACTACATTTCTATATACGTAACCTCGATTTAATTATATTTTTAATAGTATTAAATAAAAGTGTTTGTTTAAAAACATATATGATATTTAATTTAAATAGTAAAATAATTTATATAATATTAAACTTTTTTAAAAAAAATATTATATGTATTTATTTCTAAACAAATATATATGATATTTAATTTAAAAGTACGATATTAAATAAAAATATTTATTTATAGACAATATGAAACATATAAAGATAAATATAAAATTAAAAAATATAAAAATTTAAATAGTACATATGTTATATTATTTAAATCAAATATTGGATATACGCAATAATTAAAATTTATTTTCAACCTACACTAGAGGAATTACTCTAAAAAAATATATGTAAAATTGAAAATAATGGTACAAAGATGTCAATGACCAATCACAGTTAAAAACATTGTTTATATATATATATATATATATATGTGTGTGTATATATATATATACATGTTGCCAATACATGCCGCGATGATAACAAATTCACCAACAAACTTATTAACAAAAGACTTATTTAAATTAAAATAAAAAATCATTGATTTATTTGTGTAAAAATTCTAACTTAAATAAAAATAAATTTATAAATTAAATGTAAAAATAATTAATAAAATTAAAATTTATATTTCTTACATAATAATTTTAAATAGCGAACAGAGTTACGTAAATATCATTTTTAAAAGATAAACAATAATTAAATAAATAAAACGAATAGCAAATAATTAAGTATCGTATGACAATCTTCACTAATACGCGGTATAATATCTTAAATTATGTTCAACTCGTTTACAATTAAGTAGAATTTAAACAAAATATATTAATTACTTATTTTGATGATGTAATCATATATTTAAAAATATATTTATTTGACATATTTTTTAATTAAAATAATTAATTTATTATAATAAAATAAAATATTATGATTTTAATTGTAATACCTTAAATGTTAAAAATCAAATTAAAAAAAAAGTGAAAGGCAAATGACTATTTTTTGCAATTAAGGTTTCTTTTTTGGGCAAAATATGGTAATTTTTCTGTTTGGTTTTTAAAACAAGGTGGTTTATGGATAATGTATTATTTTTTTATTGAATAATGTATATTTTTAAATATCATTTTTGCACTTTGAAGATTAAAAATTTAATTTTTCTCTCATGCAAAAAAATTAAACTATTTAT